ACAACCTAAAGCCCCAGGCAGATAACCCATCCTGCTCAAATTCCAGCATCTTCTTCATGACCAAATGCAAGTCTTATGTTCAAATTATTTCCTCTCTTAACATACCCAATATACAATGGTAGGATAGGAACAGATAATAACAATTTTTTTTAAATCAATTAGAGAATAAGAAACAGCATAAACTTGCCCACAGAAATTACAGAAATAGCAAAGTAAGCTTATCCTTTAATTTCAATAACACTTCCCTGGAAATCTGATGTTCTGCAAGATAATGCTATGTGGGAGCCTATTTTTAAATAGGGAAAAATAAAATGTGTTACACATCAACACCCAAATTTCTATCATGTATTTAAAATAAAGTAAAATGCCAGGTAGAAGTAACAGACTATCATGTTAAGGTGTACAATACTTCAAGAATAGCATTTTATCAAAAAATGGGCAGAGGATCTTAACAGACACTTCTCCCTAGAGGACATACAAATGGCCAACAAATATTTGAAAAGATGCTCAACATCGTTAGCTGTTAGGGAAATGCAAGTCAAAACCACAATGAGATACCATCTCACACCTGTTAGAATAGCTATAATCAACAGGACAAGTAATAACGAATGCTGGAGAGGATGTGGAGAAAAAGGAGCCCTCATAAACTGCTGGTGGGACTGCAAATTGGTACAGCCACTATGGAATATAATATGGAGGTTCCTCAAAAAAAGAAGAATTGATCTACCATATGATCCAGCAATCCTGTTGTGTCCAGAATAACCAGACCCAACTTGAGCGCTCTTAACCAGGAGACAGTTTATTAGCCAGCGGATGTCCTTGCAACGGAGGAGCCTCGAAATGCCAAGATACAAGGGTTTTAAGCCCCAAATCCCATTCCTATGAAATACTGCCATTTGCAACAACATGGATGGACCTAGAGATAATCATGCTAAGCAAAATAAGCCAGACAGAAAAAGTTGAAAATCACATGATATCACTTATATGTGGGATATAAACCTAAAAGCAATAAATGAACAGGACAAACGAACTGTTTACCCCGAGAGACTCGTGGACATGGACTATAGACTAGTAGTTACCAGAGGGTAAGGAGTAGAGGGTAGGGGGAGGTAGACAGGGTAAAGGGGGTCAAATATGTGGTAACAGAAAGAAATCTATCAATGGGAGGTGAACATAGTGTAAATATATATATATATGCCTTACTGTTAAAGCGTACAGATGAAACTTATTGGATATCGTTAACCAATGTTACCATAAAAAAATAATTACTTTTTAAAAAAAGAATAGCATTTTAATCACCAAACAATACAGTTGCTATCAGTTGCTCTTGAAAGTAATAGCTCATGTAGTTTGCATGCATAATGATAAACATGTTTACCATGTGGCACAGCAAATACATACCAATAACTAAGGAAATTTTAAAGTTAAAAGCAGTCAATTTCTTTTAACTGTTAAATGAAGATGTGAAATTTAAAGAAATGTGAGAAAGGAAGAACAATTATTGTTGCAACAGATGCCAAAGATGACAGTGCTTATGTGTTAGATAGCAAAGGGGCAATTTCAGGCAAACTCTCAGGTACAAAAGAATGGAAAAGGTAATCTCTGTTTTTCCTGGTGCTGCTGTAGAGGCTCCAAAACAGGAAGGCATTGATAAATTCTCTGTGCTTTAGGATTGAAAAAATAAAAATTGCAAAATGAAGCAGTTTGTAGTTAACCAGTAGTTTACATTTGTAAATTCCTTTATATGCTATTATAAGATATATTGTGCTGTTCTTTAAAAGAAAAGCTTCTCATCATGCGTCCATCAAGTTTAAGGGTAATGTTACATCCATCAAGTTTAAGGGTAATGTTACACACTGTATCTGCATGGGCCGTTTATTCTTTTAGTCTGCCTGTGAACTGTAGCTTGACTGGATACTCTCTTGGGCCTTCACTGTTACTTCTTTTCCATAAAAAACAAAAACAAAAACAAAAACAAGGCTTTGGGGTTCATCAACAAGGTGCAGCAAAGAGCTTCTTCAAAGAA